CGCTAATGTACAAATTTCATTGTGTTTCAATTGTGCTAACTGCATGCGACTGACGTTCACCTTCGTAATATTCTTTCGTATGTTCCGGCGAGCTGTTAAGTCTCGAATTAGTAAAGCAGCGAGTGGTCGGTAATCGTATGTTTGCTTACAATTGCAAACGCCGCTAATACCGCTGAGTATCTGCCAATATACACTTTGCTCGTTTTGCTTTCAATTTAATTGGTATTTTGTTTGTTCAACTATTAAATTGGATTATGTTAGAAGTTATCCAAGTTGTTTGTCGTTCTCGACTGCAGTTAGACAAACCGGTTACAAGTTTATATTACTTATACTTATTCATTTTGTGCGTCTTAAGTATAACAATATCGAGTGGTCTTACGTTAGATGTTGCAATAAACTTGATTTGCCACATTCTGTAAAGAAATAAAGGTAAATAAATATAAAGTTATGTGGCAATAAAACGTGCGATGTAAAACGTCTTGGTGGTTTCGCGTAACAAACTCGCCGGTGCTATCGACTGCAATCGATTTCCCAGAAATAGCCGTGGGCGTTTGACAGGCTTCCGCGCCGCAATGAATGTTGCACGCCGCGCCGCCCGTGTATGCCACCCCTTAATATTTAATGTCTAACTAACATTTCTATGACGGTGAATTGCCGTTGTAATTTAAAATGCAACGTAAATGTGACACGGAGTATTATTTCCATGTCTTTGGTTGTACACTATGTATTAACTCGGTATTTGTTATATTATGTCCAGACGATTAGGCCTTTGTGTCCTAAAAAGAATACATTAGTTACTATAAAAAAAACGATAACTATTTCTAGCGTTTAGTTAAAGCTATTAAAGGCCGATGTCGTAAAGGCTGTAGCGTGTCGTAAACATTGATAAACGGAAGCGTATTTTCTATTTGGACGACAAGTTTTATCGAATATTTTAAAGGGCATTGAGGTGAGAATTTTGCATTACATTTGAGAATATCGTATCGTTATAAAGGTGTGCAATACGGCGGCGGTCGGGGCGCGGTAATGCTGCAGGTACCGCTTATCGACGCGACGCGACGCGACGACTCGATCGCTTATATCTGATTTGAATTTCGCGCATTACAGCCCATCAAGACGCGTCCCTCCTCTTCACCCTCTCAGTAAACACTCCAACACTTTAAGTAACCGTGCCGAAACTCAACGGAAAACGTCGACTCGTGCTTATCTTATTTCTTCGAACAACAGTTACGTAAATATGGAAAGAGCTCCCGGGGTGCGGCAGAGTATTTCATTATCCGTGACCTGTTGAGCGCAAGATTTGTGACTCATCTCCTTTACGTAACTTCGTACGTTCGCTGTAGGATTTTTCTTTAGAGCTGTCTAGTTATCTCGAACATTTGTGTACTAGGTATTTTCCAGCAGTCTCTTAAATGCTAATGCAAGATATTTATGCCACATTTTCGCTATTTTAAAAGCTGTATCAGGGTTTTATTCAAAAGTGAATTCTAGTTGTTATTGAGTCAGCTTCACGTGAGCGTACTCTTAGAATTTTATCTCGGTAAATATGTAATTCTGGAGCTGTTACCTCGGCTCCGGTTCCCACGCTCCGGCTTCCGCTTAGCGGCAATCAGGGCCAGGCTTGCGACGCTCTGTCAATACGAAGGCGAGAGGTTTCCCTGATAAACTTATCTAGCGAGCACGCTCTCCCCTCTCCGCCCCTCCCTAACCCTTCCCCCTGTCGTCTCCGTTTATCTCTCACGTATGTTCGTACGCTACGCCCGCACCGCATTACTCCCAGCAAAGTTGCTTGCTTAGTACTTTCTTGACTTTTTATATCCACTGCGTTAGGCCGCTAATATTATGAAAATCGTCTCACATTTTTACGAGAAACCCTCTAGTCTCCTTTTATCAAGCTCGTTTCCGAATTCAAATCAAAATGCCACTCGTTCATAGCGACAATTTATATTCGTTTAGGAATAGCTGAGTTATTTTATCCTTTTATAAAGTTGTCTATTTGGCCGGGTGCCCGTAATAGTGGTCCACAAGTAAAAGAAATACAGATGCAAAGAAACAAACACAAAATCTTATAAAATACATTTAACGTCAACACACATGCGAGTGTTTCCGAAAAGTGTGTAGTTTAAATCTTGCTTTATTTTGCATTTCCTTTAGATAAGAAAGAGTAACAAGAATTTGGAATACTGTTCTCGTTGTAATTTATTTGGGAAACTGGACGTTGGTGTTGGGCAATGTTTCCCGGTGCGGTACGGTAACAAACACCCTGTAACTTTGTATCGTTTTACAACACCATCGCTTAATCTAAGCGTCTTTGTTCGGAAGGTCCCGCCAGGGCCCGCCCAGCAATAACTCATCGGCACCCACAATATTACACACCACAATACCCTATACAAATGAATAAAATGGTAATTTCGCCTTTTATCTCTCGAAATGTAAATGTTTCACCTGAAGAGTTCTTAAATTTATTTTAGTCATTTATATTTTTTAACTTTTTTGCTCAATAAAAGGTAAACGTGAAGTGAAAACTTCAGCATTGTTCTCGCGACAGCGACAACAAAAAATTACATTAATTGTAAGAAACTTAATAATTTATTAATGTATAAACAGGCAGTCTTCCGAGAAATACAAAATCAATGTTCTTAAAAGGTAGGCACGATTCTTCTCCGATGAATTTATTGACATTACTGTTTTACCTTAAAAGGTTTTCACTCAAAATCAATCGAGCGAAAATTTAATGACTGCTTTCAGATTCGTATTAATTCAGGTTTACGTGCGAATGTTCAGCCGAGGTGGTGGAGCATAAAACGCTGTGTTTTCTCGCGAAACAATTAAATTCCTCATACATCGATGGGATTAGGAGCATGTTTCCACGAGGTGGTTCGCTGAGGCCGCATTAAGCCACGCCGCACTGAAGCACATCTTAAGTCCGCTCGGTTAAACCGAGATCTTCGCGTCGGTGTCGAATACTACTCGATCCAGTCTGATCGATATATCGACGGGAGGGCGCGCCTACCTAGCGGAGGCTAAATACAATTTACCTTTGTTATTTTTCGTGTCATTAAACTGCGTCGCGATCTCGAACGCTTGATCGGGATTGCGAACTCCGATGCGAATTGTTTGTGAGCTTTTGTTTCCCACTCCGCTCGCCAGCGACGCGACATCAATTAACGTCGGATCCCCTCGCTGAATTTTCTTCATGGCTGTTCGTATTATTGTAGGTAGATTTAAAACGGAATCATTTTCCGCTGCTGATTACACAGAACAGATTGTGTTTTCGTGTTTCGTCTCGACTTCTCCATTCAATTAGATAGACCGTGTTACACGGAGGTGCATGTGACAGTATAACAAACGATGTTTCCTATCTGAGTTTTAAGTTAGGCTGGCATTTATCTGGCATGTCCCCTTGGTTGCGTGTTGCCGAACAAATGGGGGGTGGCCACGGCGCTGGCGGCCGCTGCTGGCGTAGGCGCCTGTTCATTTGTAAAGCTTTATCGCTCCTGACAAATGGCGACACTCACTATTTTTATGTCGCGGACGATCGAAGAATACCGTTCATGCTACAGGACGATTTAGTACCGATATTCCCAACACAATTTCTACTGTATTTTGGGTGCAACAACGCTACTTCTTGAATTTCTGTTGTTACTTGTTTTAGTATAATACCTCAACCTCAACTTCTACATCCAACGTATGGCTTAGAACGTGCTTTATTATGTGCCGTCGTAATCTCAGTCCCCAAGTTTTATATTACGTGTTGATTATTCAGCCTTATCTAGGCATAAAACTTGGTGGAAAGACACTCAGCGCTGTAAAGCCTCGCTCACTCACTTCCCCACGTTAATGCAAAGGCACGTAGTTCCATGTCGACGCAGAAAGTTGTGCAAAGTGCACAAAGTGCGCGAACGGCGTGGCAAAGCCTTCATTTGTCGGCTTGTGACGGCCGCGTGACAAATGTGGACGCGAGTTTATGTTCCCTCCCCGCACCGAACCGGGCCACGTCGCGATTATGCACCACTATGAAAAATGTAACTCAAGCGAGACTTTAAATGTTCCGATCTGTTCTTACCACATCATTTTTTAAATCGTCTCTGAAAAATGAACAACGCCCGAGTCATTCATTCGGCCGGCTTTAATTTAAGCCTATATACTTTTCTGTAATGTCGGCGCTCCGTAGCGAAAATTCTATTGCTAGAGGTTTAGGTTAGCGTAGATTGGGTAATTTATACTTGCCTCCAGCCCTCCCGTGCGGGGTGCGGGAGGAAGATACAAGCACTGAAGAGAGCCATGCTGTTCGTTAAAATTACTTAATGGATCGATTAAACGTAGGGTTTAATTATGAGGTACATTAATTTACTTTGGTTTTCGTAGTCCGTAGCGGAGCGTTGGGATTACGTTGATACTCGTACTTTATTTATTTATGGCCTCGCTTAAATTTGTCGATATTTTTCACAACTTAATCCACTTATCGTTGAAAAATGAGTATTTTTTTAAATTCGACATCAACAGGTTTTGTCTCAGGTTTCGTTCGCAAACAAGTTGTCTGATTCGACATAATGATAGCGAATAATTACATTGGAGCTCGTAAAATTTGTCGTGCTGTATAATAAGTATTCAATGATAAGCTCCTTGACTTGGTAAAGCAAATTAAAATTCAATTTGTTACTCGAACCGTGAAGCATAACGGATTGTCGACCGATTTCGTCGCCCCTTTTCTTCCATAATTTTGCGAGTCACCCGATCTTGAAGATATTTGCTTCATTCTGCTGACTTCAGTTATAGCTGAGAGTACAAACAATGAATGAAATACGACAGATGCGATAGCGAAAACGATGATGAATTGAAATAAAATATCGGTGATTGTATACTTTCTTAGAATTCAATTTTATGATTTTGATTATTTAACCATGATCATTATAAATATTACCTCGGCAACTTAGTCATAATATCTATCCTGGATTCTTATTGATTACTAAAATGATTTCTGTTTGTGTTTGTTTCAGGTGGAATGCAAAAAAGCACAACCGAAAGAAGTCATGCTCCCAGCTAATTTGGCCAAGACGAGAGCCGCTGGCCGCGGCGCGTACGGTGAGTTGCTAGGTAGCGGCGTGGCCGGCGCGGGCGGCGTGCGGTACGCGCCGTACCCGGTACACGCGCCCGCGCAGCTGCTGGTCGGCGCGGGCGCAGGCGCGGGCACTCCCGGGGCCGCCGCGGCTGCCTACCGCCGTGCACTAGCCGCACTCCGCCCGACCCCGCGCCCCCCGCGCCCTGCGCTCGCGCCACTAGCACTTCCACCACTCACTTACTCTGTCTCTGAACTCCTCAATGCGCACGCGCTCGATATCCAGACTCTATACTCCCCTCTCACTCACACCACGATCCCAACTCCTCTGCCCCTCTGATCCGCGATCCTCTTTCAGCAACATCCGCACCACCCCTTTTAGTTCGCTACCCGCTAGGGCTTCTCTCATTAGAAACTACAAATGATTCTTGATTGCATTCCTCTGCTGAGACAGCTTTCCTTGTCCATTCCTAGCTCTTTCTTACATTCCTACTCTCTTCTCCTACCAAGCCAAAGTGACAACTTTAATGTACTTTAAGGAAACTGATAATATCCAAAGTGTCTTATTTTTAGTAATTGCCATTAGAATCAGTTAGTTAGCAGATTTTCGAAATGTGTACCAAAATAATTTAGAAGAGCTATAGAATCAGTTCTTATACAATAATTTATATAAATATTCATACATTTTCAAGAATAGTAGAATGATAACAGGAACAATTTTGCGTAGGGTTGATAGAGAGCAATATTTTTCGACCAGGTTGTAGGTGCTTAATCCTATTTGATTTACAATACATACATATACTTACCTAGTTAGACGATTTATAGTATTAAGCCTGGTATTTTCTGGTTTCTCAGTAGCTTTTTAATATGAAATATTTACGTGGGCCTTTTGGCCCGGATGATTCTTGCCAAGTTTGCTACACTTCCATCCATGAAGTACTTAATGTTTAGTGCCAGAGCATAGAATGTCATGAGTTGCGGACGAGTGACGGTGTTGTTTGACAATATTTTCATAAATGATATATTAAATCCTCTAGCTCTACCATGATTAGCGTTTCAGCTTGATGTCGGCTTTTCAAAAATGTTATCAGTGGAAGGAAAGAGGTACTTATTATGTGGATGTTTCTTATCAGTTTTATGGAGATCATTAGACATTTTATTTATTTATGTTGATTTTATTTACAATACATTGTTTTGTAAACAAATATTTATATTAGGTGAATCCAAATTTCCATTAAATTATTGTGTGTCCATAGTCTTGTGATAAAATTAGGTAATCTATATAATTTAATCCTTACTCTTTACATATATATTTATATAATATTGTGCAATGCAGTTACGACTAAACATATGTTCACTATTAGTTTATATTTAGTTGTAAACCTTCCGACTCTTCACGATTAACTGTTATTGGTTTAACAGTAAGATCTATCTTGATACTCCCAACATTTGTATTACGAACATAGCTCTCGTAAACTAATAGTATTAATTGTACTTATTAACTTATTAAGTAGGTAATTTTGGTAGAATTTAGAATTAATAAATTCATTTCTAAAATATTTAAAAATGTTTGTTTGTTTAACATGTTTAGTTCTAGACTAACAATGTGTAGAATAGATTAACATTGTCGAGTGAAGGGACATCATCTGTTGAGATGATCAGTACAACTAACATACCCCATTATCTGGAGTCACTCTAGCAAATGTTTGAAAGTAGTCTGCCATTTAGAAATATATAGAATGCTCTTTATATAATTAGACATAGATATAATATATCACCATATAATACTCAAAATTCGTAAACTTTAAATTCTTCGCCAAGCAAAATAGTGTCTCAAGGCACATTAATAATTGCTCTACTTAATATATAATCTTCGTAATCTATACATAATAAAACACACATATATAAATGTAAGGTGTAAGAATCGTTCGATTTATGTAAATGTTTTTACATTTCTAGATTTCATGTGGTCATTGGGTGCTCTTCCTGATGGTAAGTCGTTTCACTTTATATTTTGTCAACTGTCACTTCATATCTGCTATACCCTGCATCAGTCAGACCATCCCATATTGTATGAAGTGTGCCACGCTTGTTTACGACATTCGCAAGCGGACTATTCGAGTGCTAATCGGAGATACATGCCAAAACGGGTGATAGCAGTAATTAATTAACTCAGTAATTCAGTTAAAGTGTTCAACGGCGAGGCGGAGTAGATTCAATCAATGTTAGAGTCGCGCAGTGTGCGGTGGCCGCCCTGCCCCGACGTGCAGACGTGATGGATCGCGCCGCCTGACAGATACACTATTTTGATTGGCAATAATATGATAAACGATCCCGTATAGTAATCGTAGCAGCCGAGCACCGACCGGCCATCATTCATTCCACATTTTATATCCAACTTCATTTTGTTATCGAAACTCATAGTACGCGCCCCGTTGACCGCCCGTCGTACTATTTGTTTCACATTAGAGTTAATGCCATGTTTTGACATAGAGTAGCTTTGTTTGTTGATATAATTCAGTAAGTTTGTTAATGAAACACTAGATATCTGTTACGGCAGTATGGAGCCGTTATTAGTCCACTTACACTGTGCTACATTAAACGATGTTTACAAAATATCATCCGCTGGACATTGTCCAAAGCAATGTCGTACCGAGCGTGTGCGATATACTTGCCTACCTTTTATGTGACGGCTCTATTTTAGAATTGGGCCACCGGGACATGTGTTACATACCGAATGTTTATATCGACCAATGAGTCGCTATCGGCGACGCAGCATTTAAAAAGCAACGTTTCAAACATAACGCCGAATGAAAGCATGCGATTCGGCGATTAACCCCGGCTTGTCACCTCGAGTGCCACGTAATAACTTGTGTTTGTTTGTTGTACAGGGTTTCCAGCAGCGTACGCCGCCTACGCGGCAGGACGTAGCTATTCGGGCTATCCTAGCTTCGGGCTGCCATACCCTGCAGGTAATCCCCTGGCGAGCTTGCACCACCAACTATCCGGCAACCACTACCACCACCTGGCGACTCTCCTGCCATACCACCCGCTCGAGCTCAGCGGGGTTTACAATGTACACGCCATGCATCTGTGAACTCGCGCCGCGACAATGCATTCCACTAACCGCTAACGTCTATCTCGCAGCCGACACCGACCCGCTTACTACTGACATGCTGCTCATTTACAAACTTAACTACGCATACGCTAATTTTCGTAATCTGCTGTGGTGACTATGTCCTAACTTCCCATTCCAACTAACTCGCCGAGGCAAAAGTTCGTGTGAACTCTCACTAACAACTTTACTAACAAGTTAACACCCCTAACAATGACTGAACCATCTAGATAAATCTGCCACGCTGTCAATTACAAAACGTCCATGTTTTGAGAAATGCTATTTATTGTTTATCTCCAGAATTTTGTCGCGACAATCCGGCCAATTGCGAGCGCGTCGCTCCATGTTTACAGACGATTCGCCCTAACGATTCTCAAATGCTACGCGTCGAGCAAACAAACACTAGAGCAAACACAGGTCGCCTTCGCTCGGCGGCCCGCTCCCCGCCCCACCCGCTGCTAGTATCGCACCATCGCCCGCTCCTCATTAACAGCGAAAGCTTTTAAAAGAGATTTAAACAGATTCAAACAAAAGTACTGAAAAAGTGACGTCCTTTTTGTGGTGACTTCTATGTAAATCTCGGGACGGACGAAAAAGAATTCCCACTAATTAAAAGTAGTCCACCGGCTTCCAGTCGATCCCGCCGAATGAGACTAGAATGTTAATTTTTATGCGGTTCTTATTGTTCTTTCGGGATTAGTTGGTCGCGTACTCGGAGAGAAATAACAGTAGAGGCCGGTAGGCTGGCAGGCCAGGCGGCGGGGCGAGGCGCGGGAGCGGACGCGCTAGGTGAGTGCGGACCGCAGCTGCACAAACACTCTTCTCGTTATTTGTCCACACTCCGTGTTTGAGCTGCCTCCGCTCCACCATAATTACGCCACTAAGCTTTGGCTTTCTACTTTTTTCCCGGTTGGGGCGCACGCCGCGAGAATTTTTCGGTTGGACGCAGACGGAATCTAGAAACGTGAACACTATTGGAAATTGTAATTGAGCGCAGGACGCGAGGGAGGCCGGACCCTCGCCTCAGTCGGGGAACAACGATTGATGTTATCGTAGCGAGCCGGTCACCGGCCACCGCAACCGGTCAACTTTTTCTTTAGCATTAGCTGTACAAATCGTTCTGCGTTAATTACTTTTCAACCACTTTACGACACGCTAGACAGTCCCATCTCCTCGATGTTGGAAAAAATTGCGACCAACCGCTGAATTGTGAAATATAATTGAATAGCCAAAGAACCCTGTAATTACACTGTCCAAAACAAGCATTCAATGTAATGACGTTCTCCAATTTACAACAACTGTAGCTAAACAATGTTCTTGACAAGTCTTGACTAGTCTTGGAAAGTTTATAAGAGCTATTCACAAAATTTGTTAGTTTACATGGGAACGAGCTTTACGCTAAATCAGTATCTTAGTATATTTAGGTGCATATTATTGTAGTTTGATCACAATTAGTTTGGCCGTTCCGCATTAGCATTCGACATTCAATGGCAGCACCGGCTTATTAATAATGGTGATCTAGATCGCCAATACTGCGTCGACCATAAATAACGTATTCGGTCCTGAGCCGGTTGATTAAATTTTAAGATTTGAATGTTAGTACAAGGTCGGCAGCGCACCCCTAATATAATTTTATTATGAAGTAAAACGCGGTTACGTCCTTTGATGCAGCACATGCTATGACAAAGTGCCGCGCCGCTACGATCCACAACTTCGTCGCGCGCCTTTAATATGAACTAGTCGTTTCCTCCAACTTGGAAACGACTGCACGTACGGCTCCGACGAAGACAGTTTTCGAACGTACTCGTATAAACAACTTTGTTAGTCTCTAATGGGACGGAATTAATGTCAAATAATTTATGTTCCGCGGCGGCGCAGAACACTTTTCCCTAAGCCATATTTGTTAACATATTTCACAAGAAAATGCCATTAAATACGTCCCGAGGGAAGATAGACCCTCTAGGGCATAGTTTACACGTAGTTACAAAGTGCTTCACAAAAATGTTCATCGGCAACTTGACGAGAAAAAGGTGTACAAGAATACCGCCATCTTTTGAAACTCAATTATAAGTACCGTGATGGCCGAGATAATCAAAGCATCTAAGCTTTACAAGCTGAAACAACTAAGATGATAATCTAATTTGCATATTTATTGAAAATCGTAGTCCGGACTAAATTATAGTAATCTCGACGATAGGCGTGTAATGTTTAGAGTCATGTAGGCG